TGAGCTCTACTTACCGATGTGAACGGATTCAAGTCTTTACTGAGCTCTACTTACCGATGTGAATGGATTCAAGTCTTTATTCAGCTCCTCCGAACGCTCTAAGACCAGCGTCACGGGTCCCGGGAGCAAGTCCCGCAGCAGCTCGTCAGGAACATTCACGCGGCAGTACCTGCAGGGCCGGACACAGCCGGGTCAGGGCCAGGCACAGCCGGGTCAGGACCGGGCACGGCCGGGTCAGGACCGGACACAACCGGGTCAGGACCGGACATGGCCGGGTCAGGACCGGACACGGCCGGGTCAGGGCGGACACAGCCGGGTAAGGGCCGGGCACAGCCGGGTCAGGGCGGACACAGCCGGGTCAGGACTGGACACAGCCGGGTCAGGACTGGACACGGCCGGGTCAGGGCCGGGTCAGGGCCGGGCACAACCGGGTCAGGGCCGGACACAGCCGGGTCAGGGCCGGGCACGGCCGGGTCAGGGCCAGACACAGCCGGGTCAGGGCCGGGTCAGGACCGGACACAGCCAGGTCAGGGCCGGACACAGCCGGGTCAGGGCCGGGTCAGGACCGGACACAGCCGGGTCAGGGCCGGACACAGCCGGGTCAGGGCCGGGTCAGGACCGGACACAGCCGGGTCAGGGCCGGACACAGCCGGGTCAGGGCTGGCCCCAGCCGGGTCAGGGCCGGGTCAGGACTGGACACGGACGGGTCAGGGCTGGCCCCAGCCGGGTCAGGGCCGGGTCAGGACCGGACACAGCCGGGTCAGGGCCGGGCACAACCGGGTCAGGGCTGGCCTCCGCCGGCCCCGGCAGCTGCTGCTCAGCCTCCCGAGCGTCCCGGGATCGCGGCAGCCCCGCGGGCTCGGCACGCACCGGTAGAGCCGCTCCACGTCGCCGAGGCAGATGGCGAGCGGCTTGCTGCCGTTCCGCCCCTTCAGGCTGTAGATGCTGCGCACGGCGGCCGAGTCCTGGGCCAGGCAGGCCACGCCGTACACCGTGTCCGTGGGCACGGCCACCAGCCCGCCCGCCCGCAGCGCGCCGGCCGCGGCCGCCACCGCCTCCCTCCACTCCGCGGGGCGGCCCCGCTCCGGGGCGGCCCGGCCCGGCTCCCCGGCGGGCGGCAGCAGCACCAGGCGGGCGCAGACCGGCCCCGGGCCCGGGCCCGGCCCCGCCGCTCGCTCCGCCGCCCGCGCCAGCGCCAGCGCCGCCCGCGCCATGCGGCGCCGCTTCCGGCGCGGGGCCTGACGGCAGCGCCGGGGCGGGACCGCCGCCGTGCCCATGGAGACCGGGCGGCCGCGGCACGGCCGAGCGGAGCCCCCGGGACAGCGGCGGGTGCGGGGGGGGACGGGGAGA